TTTTAAAAACAAAAAATACTATTTTTATAGAATTATTTTCCCTCTAAAATAGTATTAATTTAATTAATGATGTTTCCATAAACATTATTATCAATTGCCAAATACATAAAGAAAATTGCATCGTAAACATGCAATCACACTATATATTAACTGTAAATTATCTATAATATTTATTTTTATGTTCAAAAAATATTTTTTATATGCTAATAATAATATGATTCATTTAAAAATATATATATAAAATAAAGGTTTGCTTTTTCTAAACAAAATGACACCAATTTGTTAATATTAACAAAAATATTTTCATTGGAAAAAGTTTTTTGAATGCACCGATTATTTCGATGTCATTTATCATAACTTATTAATATTTAGCTCTATTAATAAACTGCAAAACAGTTAATTAATTAATTTTTAATGCAACCTTCAAGTGTGTGTGTGTGTGTGTGTGTGTAACAGTGGGAAACAAACATATTTCAGTGCATTTTAGTAATTGCATAAATTTGGGAAATTGTATAATATAATTAGAATTGTAAATTGATTATTGATTAAAATTATGTATTTATTTATTTATATTTATTGCAAATAATTTTTATTGATTAATATAAACATTTTAAGTTATCTCATAATTATTATTTATAATATGCTATAAAAACCCAACCTTATTATAATTTGTTATATTTGAATTTTGGGATTAAAATTAACAAAAACTACAGTATATAAAACAATTGATTTTTTATATAAACGATATAATATTTATATTAAGCACTTTTTATTTTTATTAATTCAATTGTTATTCATGAATGGTTTCTCTAATAAAAACATGTTTTATGAAAATCAATTAAAACAAATAACAAAAAAATGAATATATTTTAATTAATCATATTTTCTATAAAAGACTTTACAAACAATTTATCATACAAAATAATAATAATATATTAATAATAAAAATAATAATATATTAATAAAAATAATAATATATTAATAAAAATAATAATAGTAATAACCTAAATATGAAACAATTCTTAATTTATATAAAATTGTTGAAAATTAGTGAAGGTTTTACAACAATTTATTGCAATATATATTTGAATGTGTTATCTTTAATAATGATATTTATTTTATAGTTACATTTTTATATTTAAATTAAAATTATAATTTATAAAAATATAAGTAAATATCAATATTTATATTTTGGTTTTCAAATTTATATATTGTTTAGTGTTTATACTACATATAAAATTACATATACGGTATACAATAATTAAAAATGTTGTTTAAAGTGTTAAAATTGTTTTCACACATATGAGTGATAAGTAATGCAATAATTGATTATATGCTTAAATAGCGTCTAATAATAATTATGATAACAACTAATTGTTGATAAATTATTACATATTATAAATATATATTATATGCAATCTACATAATAACTACATAATAACTACAGAATTATAATTTATATACAAAATTCATAAATAAAACATTGGTAATTAAATAAATATGATATAAAAATAATTATAATGAATAAGTAAATAGCAAACTCATTAAATAAATTATAATCAATAGCCAATTATAACAAAAATTGTTAAACTATTAATGAAAACTAACATAAAAATATTACCAAACAATAATAAATTATTGTCATATTGGCACTGATGTGTAAAAATTGCTATTCTTAAAAATACAACTATATATTAAAAAATTTTGAAAAATAAAAGTTATGTGAAATATAAAATTTCAATTAATAGTGTTAGAAAAAAATTAAAAGAGGAAACGATTTAAAAATATAAGCAATTTATGTGAAGTGTTTGTTAGATTAAACATCAATAAAAGCAATTTTATTTTATTTATTTTTATTTTGTTAAATTAAAAACAGCTTTAAAATAATTTACTATTATAACAAATTATTAATTTAAAAAGTTTTTTGATTTATTACTACATTAATTAATATGCAAAACAGTGTAGATTATCGTTAAGTAATTAATTGAAATTATTTTTATATTTGTGTTTCGTTAAAACATATCATAAATCTAAATATTTGAAACATTATATTGCATTGAAGTTATATTTATGTTATATTATTTACCTATTCATATAATTTTTAAATAATCTAAATCTATTATATTTATGGGTTTTATTTAATTATTCAAAGACCATATAATATGGTTTAAATAAAAAAAATATTTAATTAATGTAAAGCATGCTACTGAGGTTATTATTTAGCAATATTATTTTTTTAATTTGCAAAATTTACATTAATTCACATTTTGAATATTAAATTAATTAAATAATTTTCTTATAATCTACATTTTYAGTATATTTTTATATATAAGTTTAATAAAAAAATATAGATTTTAGTTGTGCCTATAAAATTTTATTGCAATTTGTGTTTTTCATATAAATTTGTAATTAAATATTATTTTACTTATCGGTTATAGAGTATATGTATGTATGTGTGTGTTGTGTGTGTGTGTGTGTGTGTGTGTGTGTGTTTCAAATGTAAATATTTGCATAATATATTAAATTATATATTATAGTATATTTTACATGAGAACTGATAAATTTACAGCAATTGTTTGGATTCATTAGCATTTAATTATTGTTATCAATAAACTGTTTACTATGTTTATCAATTGAAKTATAGTTATTTGAATTATAAAATAACTATTAAAGTTTAATGTATATATTAATTGTTTATTAATGAGATATTAATATGTAGTATAGACTATATATAGTATTGTATTACTGTACTACTTATTTTACTATAGTTTTGTAATATAATGATGTTAAAAAATTTTGTTTAAAATTATAGTTTTATTTGAGTTTAATTTTCAATTTTCTAATAATTATAAATGTTATTTTTAGATATTTTAGATATTAGATTCTTACTATATAGTTATGTGACATGTTTTATGTAATACATAATTTGATATATACAACATATGAGGTATTATTAAATCATGTTTTTCAATATTTAATTATACTTAACAATATTTGTGTTATTTTTCAAATAGAAATTTATTTGCCATTAAATCTATCACATGATAAATGTTAATTAGTCTTTATATAATTACGTTAGTGTTGATAAAATAATATTTATCGACCAAATATAAATTATTATGTATACATTAGATTAGAGTTTATGTYATAATAAAAATCTAATTATGACAAAAATTTAATTATAATTTTAAAACTAAAATATCTACTCTATAAGATATTATAATTATATCAAATTTAATAAAAATATTTTACATTAAAAATTATAATTATTTAAATATTAACATATTTCTAATCATATGGGAATATATTATTAAAAATAATRTCGACTAATATATCTAAATAGTATATCTCAATAAAACTGTACATTTAGTATACAAATAATTAACATTTATAGTATGTGAGTTTGTTATTATATAATGTATGATATATACTGTACATATACTAACAGTAGGTACTAATGAATTTATAATGTGATAAAATATTACACACAAACGCACACAACATATAATTTTATTAACATATTTTTTGCTTGTCTTACATTTTGATCAACAAAAAGCTAAAAGCATTTTTTGATATATAATTTTTAATACATCTACCATTAGATTCACTCTTACCTTAAAATCTCTCTCTCTCTCTCTCTCTCTCTCTCTCTCTCTCTCTCTCTCTCTCTCTCTCTCTCTCTCCTGAATACCTCTATAACTATATAAACATATATTTAATATTAAATTATATCTTAATAGCGGATAGAGACACAYATATATGTATTATTTAGATAAAATAACTATTAATTTTCAATTAGTCACTACAAAAAAATAAATAATATTGTATAAGTAATAGATATATACAGTAATAGTTTTTTGGTAAAACAACTATTTTACAGTAATTGTATATAATAAATAAATATAATTTTTTAAATATATTWTTAAAATTACTATATAAWAGATTTTTAGGTAATTTTAAAAAATATATTTTACTATTTAAATAATGTTATAATATTTTGATTGAATATCTGTGTTAATAAAATTAATGATTAAAGTRTGTGATAAGCACCTAGTGTGTACAATATTATATATTTTAAATATAATGGTATACAACATAAATATATAACAGGTTTTTTTGAAAAATATTAATTAAAATAATAAGTTTACTATTTTTATATTTAAAAATAATTATGGTTGTTAAACATTATCAAGGTCATCAATCAATTAATTAAATAGAAAACGCTTAATTAATTCATCACTATTTCAAAACCGATAAAACTTATATTTAATTTATAAATCAATAAAATAAATTATTGATATTTTTATAATAGAACATAATTTTTTTATTTATTTAATTAATGAAATAAAAAAACTGAAAAATTAAAATTTATTACATGCAGTTTGAATATAAATTATATTTTAAAATACTAAATATTTTTTGATAAAATGTTTAATATGCATAATGAAATTTTTATGTATTATACATTAAAATAATATTTATTCAAAAACTATATATATCTTATCATAGATAATTAAAATTAATTATATATTGATTACAAATGTATTTGTAAATTATTATCAGCATTTATATCRTTTACTTAAATTTTAATGATACTTTTTGAATTAATTGATCAAATATTGAATAATAAATGTTTACAACAGGTTTAAWTATTTTTTCTCAAAATAAAATTTTGGCAATAGTAATGATTTAGTATCACTAATTAATTAGTTTACATTTTGAAGTATTTATCAGTTTTATTTTTTTATTGACACTGTATGTTGTATGTTATTACATGATTTCCAACTTATTTTTAATTTAACAGTATTGGCAATACTGTATTGCTAACCAAAATATTATAATGCAAATATATTATATTTAAATTAATTACAGTAATATTTTAMAAATAAATAAAGTTTGTTTAAGATATGATAAGCGCAGTTAAAAACTAATTATTAATCTAATTTTATATAATAATAATAAATAATATGAATTTTTTATTATTATATTTCAATCAACAGATTATAAGATATTATCGGAAAAAAGTCCAGATCTGTGTTGTCAGCCGTCGGCCACAACGGCTGCAGCGGTGTTTGGCAACGGYTACCGCAAACCCAAGCGTATCCGTACGGCCTTCAGTCCGGGACAGTTGTTACGACTCGAAGAGATATTCGAGAAGAACCGGTATGTCGTCGGTTGTGAACGAAAACAGTTGGCCAGAGATTTGAAACTCAGTGAGACTCAGATAAAGGTTTGGTTTCAAAATAGACGAACTAAACATAAACGAGAAAAACATCAACAAAATGGTCCGAAAAGGACGGCCGGAGCCAACATCGCTGCCTTCATGAATGGTCACTATATCGGCGGAACGTCGGCTCTACATCTGACTAGTGGTCATCTGAGTGGTCATCACAGTCGGGACAGCAATAGTAGTGATGTAGACGACGACGAAAGTATGGATGAAGAGTATATCCGAAAATATTGATGTTTTCAATGKATAACATGTTTTCAATTTATATAAATATCTAATTTTTGCTAATATTTTAAAACACAATATTTAAATATTTAATTTTAAAGAAATATGTTTACGACTCATATTATTAATAAGATATTAAATAATGTGAAGTTTTTAAGTTTATTTTTATATACAGTACTATTATTATCATTAATTATGTATTTTTAATTATATAATATATTTATTTTTATAACTAATATAACTAAGTTTAAGTTTAAATTTACATACTGTATAACATTTAATAATGTAAATAATAAAATATTTTTAAAAATAATTATAATTGTGATAGATTTTGTTAAAGATTGTGTGAATAAATACAGTAAGTTTTACTTCAATCTAAGTATCAAAATCATTAAAAAAAATCAAAACATTTTTCAATTATTTAATTAAATATATATAAATATATAGCAATAAATTAACTATTAAATAAATGTTATTATTTATGAGAAAAACTTGTAAAKTAGTTTCGCAATAAGTTGTWATCTTTATTATTTATAACTAAGCTTTTTATTAAATTTTATTTTAATAATTTAACTCATTAATATTTATTACAGAATAATATAATTATTAATAAAAAAATAAAGAAATTTATAGATTTTATTTTATTAACCAATTTTTATATAAATATTTTATTRTAATTACAATTTATGTTTTATAATTTATTAAAATAATAGCCTCTAAAATATTGGTTTTTGTGTCATTATATASTTTATATATTGTCATATAATAGTTGTTAAATTAACTTATCGTATATTTTTATCAATTATTTATAAAATAAAAATATTTATTAGAGGAAAATTATTAATTAAATATCTATTTAATAACAACTATTCAAATCATTTAARTGATAAATCTATATTATAATTTTTTCAATAATGTAATTATATAAWATAATTTATTAAATATTTGATAAACAATTAAATGTTTACTAAAACACTTATTAATTATATAATTTAGGTCATTATTATAGGAAAAATTATATTAATAAATAAATTGAAAATCTTTATAATTATTTTTAAAAACAAYATATATTTAATTAKCAAAATTGCTAATTACATTAAAATTTATTATTGATTATTGTTTTAGAGCAAAAAACARTACTATTTAACAATTAGTTTAATTAATATAAATCAATAAAAACAATTTATTACTGTACAACAATCAATTTATAATTGTCTCTAATATTGATGAATATAATTATTATTATTATTAAACATTAAAATTAGCATTATTATACTAAAACCTAATATCATTTTTTAAAGTACAGTAGACATCCAATTGAAAATTATTTATACARACTAACACTATTGTTATTAAATCAAATCACATATTATTTATTTCAATTTATTTAATTATCAAATAAATGGTTTTATCTAAATTAATGTTTTTAAACAAATATTTTAATTAGATTTACAAATATTTTAATTAGATGATTTAATAAATATGATATTAAATGAATAATATTAGAAACATCTCTCATTAAAAAATTATCCAAATAGCTTAATTTAAATTTTATAAATATTAAATAATAAGATTTATTTATACTATAAATTTATAATAAAAAATGATTTACTTATCTAAATTTATTATATTTCATAACTTACTAATAATAACTAATCTAATGTTTTACATGTATAATGTTTATTTAAAAAGATTTTTTTTTATTAAAAACAAATAATTTAATTAAAACTAAAATATAATATTTTTTAAAATTGGTCAAATAATAAAAAGATTTAAACAATAATTCACTATAAAATTGTTTGCTTCAGTAATTTTGTAAAATATGATTAAGTAAACTAATTATATTAAAAATAAWGATTAACATTTTTTTATTATTTAATTATAAAATACAACAACAAAAAGTGAAAGTTTTGTATTAATATGATAATCAAAACACTATAATTGTGTATAAATTTTGAAATTTTATTCATTAAAGCATTTTCTTATGTGAATTGGAGTGAATTTTATGACAAAAAGTAATGTTATTTTGAATACAAATTTTCACATATTATAACCTAAATGCAGCAATTATGATACATAATTTTAAATTAGTAATAATTATAAATCATGCAATTTATCTCCACATACACAGCAAAATATTAATTTATATATAATTATATCCTTTTGTATTATAAAGATAGTGTTTGTCAAATATTGAGACACAAAATTTATGATAGCATAAAAAATAATCATATAACTAACTTGTACAACAAAAATGGGAAAATTTCAATTTTAAAACAATACTAATTTATTATATAACCAAAAAAATAATATGTAACTATAGCTAACCCTGAAAGTGATGGTTGTATGCACTTTGGGTATTAATATATATTTATTTTGTATTTTACTAGTATTTTAATTTGTTTTATTGCAATATTTTTTATATAATAAAAATAAACTTTTTTTTTTTCAAATAAAACGTGTGTTATTTAATGTTCCCAAACCTTGAATTAAATATGGATAACAAGTTTTAATTACTATAATATATTTAACATATTTTTTATTTTTATTATTTGTTTTTAAATACCTGGCTATCCAATTATTTTATTAATCTTAAACATTATTCACTTAGTTTGTATAAACTGTATAATAAGATAAAATATTTTTACAAATAATTTTTCCATTATATCTTTATGTAATAAAATGTTTCAAATGTTTTATAAAATTCAATATAAATTACTAATAATTTATCAAAAAAATATTTGTTTAATTTTTTGTCTCATTTGTAACGTTAATAATAGATTTTTTGAGTAATAATATCAAAACATTTATTAGATAAAACACATATCGTTTACAATATCTGTTAAACAGTTTATTACAATCTTGTAATTTTGGCCAAACCTATATTGGGTTTATATAACTATTATTGTATTACATAAAAATATAATCAATTTCAAAACATTTATCACTAACAGGTGTGCAATTCATAATCATTTAATATACAGATATAATGAATGTAATTAATAGTAATAAAAGTAAATTACTTTAATTATGTTTATAACATTTTTAAAAACTTTAGTAATTAGCAACTGATTGTTTCATTGAGTTATATGTTATGAAATTTATATATTACTGATAATTCTGTACTAAACGGTACTAAAAGTTTATATAGGAATTCCCCGTTTTATATATTATCTCTAATACAATAGTGATATTAATAGTTATAACTTTAACACTAATTACAAATAATATTTGAAAATTGATCATAAAAATAATTTCAATAATTTAAAATTCCTTTTACTTAATTAAAAAAAATTTGAATATTTAGTTCAATGCTGAATAGATATACAACTTTATAAAATAAAATTTATAATATTTCTTTAAATATGTACCAATTGTAATGATGACACCAATATATAATATAATTTGATATTTAATACATAGAAARTATTGAGGAAAATATGAAATTAATTTTGTTTAAACATTATTGTTTAGTGTTAGAAATATGATCTTGAAACAATTAGATTATTCTAATTTATAAAGTTATACTTTATTATCTAATGGTTAGAATTTTTTCCAAAGTATAGATATTAAATAAAAATTTTAATATATTTTTAAAAATTATTATCAATATCTTAATACATTCAAATAAATATTTCTCTAATTTAAAATTTTACAGTTTTTTTAATTATTAATAATCATTTGCTAAATACTTTCTTTATATAATAAATATTTTTTAAAAAACTATTTAATATAATTGAGAGAGAGAGAGAGAGAGAGAGAAAKAGAGAGAGAGAGAGAGAGAGAGAGAGAGAGAGAGAGAGAGAGAGAGAGAAAGAGAGARAGAGAAAGAGAGAGTTGAAATTAATAATGCTTTGTTTAAAACATTAATTTTCAAATGGTATTAGGGGCTGTTCACATATTATGTTCGCACTTTTAAGAAATCTAGACCCCTCCCTCCCCTATGTTCGCAATTGTTTTCATGTAATCATTTTAAAAAATTACCCATTTAAAAATTCACTCCCCTCCCCATCGTTTGCAAAAGTTCGCTTTGGCCGACTCTCCCTCCCCTCAAGTGCGAACGTAATATGTGAATCACCCCTTATCAAGTTAAATTAGTTTTATGACTAAATTGTTTGCATAAATAAATTAAGCGAAAATACACATACATATAATTTTAAGCTATTATAATAAATAATATTAATGAAGACTTTAAGGCAGATAACATTATCATTATTATAGAGAAAATCTTAAAAGAAAAACTATTTAATAATTTAAGCGAATAAGCCCTTAGAGGACATAAAACTGGGAGAGATATGAAAATAATAAAACAAAAATAAAACAAAAGCAAAAATTTATTAATAATTTTTGTATAACATTTTCTGAAGGGCAGACACAATATCATCAAACAATTTTTATATTACATTAATATATTATCACAAAATATTTAATTAGAAATTTACTAATAAAGAGACTCGTTTTAGTAATTAGCTCTCTCTCTCTCTCTCTCTCTCTCTCTCTCTCTCTCTCTCTTAAAATTAATATCTTTTTTACTAAGAAAGTGGATAAACAATAAAAATAAAAAAATATTTGAAGTTTATTATAATTAAAGTGGTTTTGTGTGAAAATACAATTTAAATTGTATAATAGCTTTAAAATATATATACTGTAATATAAATAGTTATAAAATTTATCCATTAATTTTCAATAGGGACAGCATGTCAAATACAAAATTAATATACACTTTTGTTTTCATAGATAAACTAATTTATTTAATAAATTCTTAATCATATAGTAGTAGTTGATATAAATTTATTTTTGTTTAAATATAAGGAATATATATAGTATTAAATAACACATTAATTTTATCATAATACTGTATATAATTTATATATAGATTTATATTTAAATATCCTATAATCTATAGCACTACTAACAATAATTTGCTTAAATCCATGATTTTAAATCAATAAATCGTGATTTAAAAAAATAAATACTATTTATCATAATAAATATTTTCAATAATTATT